TGCCCAAGTCGTCAAAACAGCACTCCAAAAGCTTGAATGAGAGGTTCTTCACCATCCACCGTACTCTCCGGATCTTGCACCTACCGACTACCACCTTTCCGCTCTCTGTCAAACCAAATGAGGAGTGTTACCTTCGATGGAGAAGAGGTTCTTGGAAACTGGCTCAACAACTTCTTCGACACCAGACCGGCTGATTTTTGGCGAAACGGCATCAACAAATTGGTCAAGAGATTGGAGGAGGTCGCAAACAGTAACAGGGGGATACATCATTGATTAATTTATTATTATAATTATTGTTTTTTGTTAAAATAAATCTCTGTGAAAAAACTCTACGAACTTATGTTACAACCCAATACTAACCGAGAGCAAATGATCACTGAAACTCACTCATATTGTGAATATCCTTCTTCCGTCTGTCACGGTAGTAATCATCGCCAGCTCCACCTGTTCCACTTTCTTGCGAGGATTGCATCAGCATGGCGTCCATGTCTATTGAACTGGTGGGAGCCGAGCTGGAAACTACTTGACGGAAGTTCGATCCTAGTGTGGCACCTCCAATCGTGATAGGGCTTCCAGAGTGGCCAGAGCCTAAATACGATGTTTTAGATTTTTAATTTTCAATCAGCGCATTTTACACATTATCGCCTAATCGGTCCTTGAGTTGATCCCAGCAACTCGTTTTCTTGTCCCACCCAACCACGAACAGCCTCTTTGAACGACCCACTTTTAATCGATCCAATTTTTAGTCACGCTTACTTTACTATGGCGAATTCCCAGACAGTCACGTGCCGTTTTGTTTTCAGAAACAGCCACGCCGCCGATACATAACAACAAGTAAGCGACGATGAAAACTACCCGACAGGTGCTGATAATCAGAACTATCGATATGGTGAGACGAAAGAACATCAGACAGCCCCTTCGACTCCTTGAATAATCATCGACTTTCAACGATGATCAAAGGAATCGAACACACGTGTGGCGACGTTGGTAATTGTCAGCAGCACAGCAGCACCTACTCCAGACGCCATGCCGTCGCCACTGTCATAATACAAAAAAAAACAACTCTCACCAATATGCCCAGACAATTACAAAACCTTTGGGTGATGGTGATGGCAATGCGATTGAATTTTAAATAAAAATCTGTAAACAAAATTGATTGAAAACACTACTTGTAGTACCAGATGATTGAGCACCGGGAATCGGTCGAGCATTGGAGAGTTGCGTCAGATTGTCTGCACATGAATAGCTGCCGGAAAGCTAAAATTGGAACCATTGAGAATGTGAAGAAAAGAAATGAATCATGCCAATAAGGGCGCAAAGCCTTTTTGGAGTTAGCTGCGCAGGGATGCGAAATTCAATCAAACGAAGCAGTTTCTATCCTATAATGGAGGGCCGCATGCACAACTTCATTTGACAGCAGGAACGAGGCCGGACTGGGTTCCTATTTTTAAATTGGGATCGAATCGACGGGTATATCCTGTTTCTGATCAGCAATACCCCGGTAGATACTTTAAATATTCCTGTATCTCTTTTGTTAACTGCCTTGGGATAAAACGAATTCAGGTATCCGGGATTCGCTTGTCACCGAGACCCAGTCCAACTCCATTACCATAATTAGCAACCGCCCCGCCCCAAAGTGACCATTTTCAATGTTTTGTACTCTTTATGAGTTCAGCAATTCCTCTTTTTCTATTCAGTCATCTAGTGTATTTAAGCAATTAATTCGGACAAGGACATGGAAAATTAAGCATTAGTGCATGAACGAACACATCGATGTTTGAGAAGCTAAAACAAGTCTACTCCGGCAGCAACCCTTTTTCAAATTGGCCCTGTAGTAACTAATCGACGAACAAAGAAAGAAAAGGGAAAACGAGATCGTTGCTTGCCGCTGCGGCTTACGCTGAAATTGAGAAACCACAGTTCGCGACTGGCACGCTGCTTAATTACCACCTCGTAAACACTCAAACTATGAAGAGAACACCACGAAGACGAGCAAAGATTGATTTCATGACGATTGTTCTTTAAATCCACATGACGAATGTTACGGGGGAACTCCTATCAGTATCAGATCTCCCATTCTGAGTCACCACCGCAACTAGAAGAATATAAACCGATACAGTGCCGATTTCGCCTCGGCCAACACAGACATCATTATGTTGTAAATACGGAACTACATAGGATCAATTTTATTGCTGGACACTTCGCCACCAAAACCAAAGGGAAGTGTACTCTATGCCAAAAGGGATATGACCCATTATCCGTTATTACCGATGACACGTTGGAACCAAAACACATCGACACGGAGCCGATCGAAAACCGTTGGGTAGGAAAAGTGATAAAGAGCATGGCGATAGATGGATATGATGATCTCGGTAAACATTGTGGGAGTAGTAAGAAAAAGATCAAGCAACTACCAATTAAACCACATTCGTAAAAGGGCATGACGATAGATGGTGATCAAGGAGATCCGGGTAAATACCGTGGAAGTAGTAGGAGAACAACAAGGCATTACCGACTTTCAAACCACATTCGAGGAAAGGACAACCCTTCAATGCTACAAGTACATATGAACAAGTTTTTATATGGTCAAAAGCAGCGCGTGTTCAGTTGTTTCAACAGAAACATGTGGAAATCGTCAGCAAAAAGAAGCACCAAAGTTGGAAACATCAATCATCAACAACACCCCTTTTACTTTTGTTTCTGATAGCACCAACTACCCAACTCATCAGGGTGAAAAAGGTTTCACAAGCGGAACTAGAAGGGACTCTTTCTATATGCGAAATCGTTGAAAAAAAGACGAAGTCCCACTATCTGAAGCTCACATCTGGCACTGTTCAATCCTCGCGAGGCGACCAGTCGGCGTCAATATCCGTGGACTTTGATGCTAAAAAAATCCCCGCTAAAAACCGGAATAATTGGTGTCGCCCCTAAACCCACACCAACGCACTTTCAACTATTCAACAGAGAACTGATTTAGGGAAGATGGCGGCCGCCACTCTTTCAGGGCCTATGGGCTATCAGTTGCCTGTCAGCGGCTACCAGCGGTGGCTCCTACAGGGTATTGATTGCACCAGTGTTCAGACGTCATTTACTGGATGTCTTGCGATACAATAAACGAGCTGCTCTCCCAAGTAGTCGCCATCTGCGAAAGAAAGAATGGGACAAAAGATTACCTTACTGCAGTATTGAAAAACGAGTAATAAGTTCCTTTCTATTTGCTACTTCTATTTTTCATAAAATGGAAAATGTTCAAGGAAGGGGAGAGTGGAGAAAAACGAATCCTGACTTCGTCTCCCCACACGTAGGTATTTAAAAGAGCGCAGACAGGATTTGAAGCAGTGCGACTTCTCTTCAATCCCTTCCCAATGCTTCCAATCCCCTTATATCCAAATGAGGCTCCTGAACTGACTTTCGGTCAACCGCTTTGCGCTCATCGATTACCAACGGTGCACCAACAAAGCTCAAGCTCAAAGTCCAAAATCAGTGAAATTCGTTCGGATACATTTAAACTAGAAGCGGAATTCAGTGTGCTCCTTTTGGAATAGGTCATTCAAATATCAATGAATCAAGGGAATTAAAAGATAAAACAGAAAGGCGAACATGAAACGAAATGACAAATAATGCAGCAAGAGAAACCAAGGGAAATCACTCACAGGCTGAGTCTTTCCGCTGGTCCTCCTCTGCTCGTCTTCAAGCGACAGAATCTCGTCTATGATTAAGTCGTCGTATAACTGAAAGCACCGTGTCTGAATGGTCTGAATCGATGCGAGCTGAGAGCTATGCTTTCGTTTCTTGGTGCATGTGTGTGTGCGGATAACAACATTGAAGATGCAAATGATGACGAAAGATGGGGTTGATAAGATGAAGGCATGCAAAAAGGCACCAACCAACCCTGCATGCAAATAATCAACCGCTTTGTCAGTTTCGACAGGCGATTGAACGGCTAGCAACCGAAAGCTTTTGCCGGTGGCGCCGAAGATTCTATCGAACAGGTTTTCGCAGATCGACACAGCTGAGCAGATGGATGGATATAACTACCGCGCGCACGCGAATAAATGTGAGACAAACAAAACAGCTGAGCGAGGTCGATAGAACGAACAGAAGACGATGGCGATGATGAGATGAACGGGACGAACGAAAGGTCGGATTACATCCACACTGATCAATTCATGCACTATCAACACTATCATACACGGCTTCATATATGATAGACGCATAGCCATACAGTCAGTCCGTCACACTCACAACAAACCGGATTATCGAACACTTCACCACCACGTCACACTGTGCGTCGCAGCTATCGCCCATGAAGCTTCAGAAACATTGCCCACACAAACACAACTATATAATTCCCCTACAGTAACATGCAATTAGTCGAACGAACGGACAAGCAACAATTAGGCGAAATTGGGGAGGTCATATGGGAGGAGACCTCATAATAACGAATTAACGAATGCGAACCTCGCTCTGATTGAATGATCCACTTCGAGGACTGTCACCAAAGCGATGAAGGTCAGGGCTTTCCATTGAAGGTGAATGGCGTTGGTTCTATAAATAACGCTATGATCCACTGAAAACAGAGAAAACAGATTTGAGAGTAAAAGTATAAGTTTTCGTCCGTTTTTCACATCATATTCCAGACCGAATGTGCAGCTGTTAAAACATAGGAAATATGAGATTAACAAAAAGGAGGCTTCGAAGATGGCTGAAATTTGCTTTGAACGGTACCTGCATAGATGAGGCACTCTTTCTAGTACAGAACTTCCGCAAAACTAAAGTTTTCGGAGTAGTTGGGGAAGCGACTGCCTTGGGTGACCTTCGGATTTGAGGAACTTTCCGATCATGTGGGGGAGAATATCGAGCCGTTGGAGCAGAAATAAATCGTCGACGTGGTGGCAAAATACGTCGACTTGGACCAGCCAAACTCGCGTCCACAGTCATCAAAACAGTGGCTGGGGAGACCACGCAAATGCTTAGCCAATCAGCAGCGAAGCAGTAATGTAACCAAATATGGAAGTTGTCTGGAATACAAATACAGTGGCTATTAAGCCGTTACCGATCGACGGCGACAAGAGCACCAGAGGTTCGCGACTTTTCAGGAACGGGGCGTGGCCGCTCTCCTCCCCCTCCCAGAACGGGCTCGCCGACGCCCTATTTACACACAAATACACACACGAAATGCAATCCTTGAGCAGACAGAAAGGGATGGAGTGAGAGAGTGAGGGATCGGACTATGTCGTGAGAAACACAGAAACAAACGGACAGACGATAAACAAGAACGTAGTCAAGAAAACATCACGGATTTGTAGGTGTTGTGAACCTTTTAACGGATTCAAAACGAAAAAACGGCTATGCGTGGAAGCCTTCAACAAAACACTAAACATCCATTATCACAGAACCAGCTGGCACGTCTGATCGATAGCGCAGGCACAAAGTGTTATGAACTTTCCAAACAACTCGTGTTCCGTACTTCTTTACCGCATCGATCGTATTTACACTGCTTCCCTGTGGAGAAGATTTATGCCTAAAACCACAACCTGCTTCCCCAGGTCTTCAGAAATTCATGAAGAAAGTGCACAGGTTCAAACCATTCTTTTTTCTCTTTGGGTACCGGTAATGAAGACAAGGTTTAGGTGCTGCGTCCGAACAGTTACTAGTAAACAACAATTAGAACGTAATGAAAAAAGCAAAAAAAAAAGACGTTGCTGTTGACAACTCGTTCTATTTGCCACATATAAAATCAAACGGAACTTTGCATCCCTTAGGAGCCAAAAAGGGGACGATTCGCCTATCGCCACATTGGCATGTGCTTTTTAGCGCTTATCAGAAGTTAGCTCTATCAGTGTACCACTCGCCTAAAGCTTCCACAACACGCCACTGAAAAATGTCATCAAGAAATTCGGCACAGGCGCGTCGACGCAAACAACGGGAAACGAGCCGTCTGGAGACACCCATTAACAAAACACCAATGTTCAATGCAGTGACATAAACACCGCAGTTGGAGCGGTCCGAGGATTGAGCTGCCTAGGGCCATATTAACTCAGCTCGGATGCTCGGCTTAGATCATCACCATCTGGGTTGTTGACAATTGTTTCTATTTTCTTCAATTGAAGTCATTGTTTCATATTCTTTCTCAAAAAAAAAAATTCGATAATATGAACTCAGGAAGCCCAGAGAAAACATCGAGAAATGTCCTGCAGAAGTCTATCAGACAATTGGACAAAAGGTTGTTGTACAATCATGTAGTTCTTGATTCGATCTTCTCCAAAGCTTTCATTGTACTATAGCTAGCCATTTGCTAGGCTCTGAAGTGAACTTTTCAAACAAGAGGATCCTCAGGATGTGGATGGCTGATCGTTTCAATATCGGAGACTACCGCACACATGAAGTTCAGGGCTACTTTTTTGCCAAAATTTGCCGCTCCACCCACATCTCACTACTCTCATAAAGGTCACGAATAAATGAGTTCCAAAGATCAGTTGTATTCCTGAGCAGAACTGAACATCTTGATCCGGTTCCTATAACCAATTAGAGACTAGAACCCCATCTGTTGCTCTTGAGCTCGCAACAACAATGAAAACATTGGGATCACTTGACGGCAAACATAAAGGGATCATTTGATAAGGAAATTGTTATATCTTTCGATAATATCGGTCTTCTAAGTGTTCACAGCGGGAGAAGCCACACCGGTTAATGAGACACCATTTCATGGGAAGAATAAGCGACTCCCGTTGTAGTCGGAATACGCTCAAAAACGATCGAGCCACGGGTTTCCCTACATCCCGACCGTTCAAATGCCTTTTTGCCCCAACACACAATACAGGATTATATAACATCAACAAGGGGAGTTTCACATGAAAAGAAACAAGGGATCTGGACATCGTAGGAAATGAGGACCGATATGTCTTCGTACCGATTGTGTGACAAACTTCCGAGCGAACAATTGCCGCATCACCAATTTGAATGATTCAAGCGAACACATTGAAGGGGACCACGAACTTCGAATGAAAGCTCGGGCTCAATTTGAAAAAGATAGCTGATGAACCAGAGTCGTGAATCTAACCTTCACTACCCGGCTTCCCAATCAGAATCGAACCGATGCACGAAGAGCAGCTGGCTTCGAAGACCAACTGCGTCATTCCTCGGGACTTTAATTGCTTACCCTACCCAAATTACAAGGAAAAACTGCGCAAAATAGCTATATTAGACCTTTTAGAATCTTCTCGCCCCCATGCTTTCCAGTTTGTGTTTGAAAACATTGATATAGTGGAATATATTAGGTTGTAGACTCCTTGCTCACGCAATGTCATAGCAACACAAGCTGATGCATCGGAATTTACCACTTGGGCACTTTCGGTTTGTCAGTATTTGGAAGATGGTGAACAGATAAGAATACTGATTGTTGCAGGGATGTTATCGACAAGTCATGAACACCATAAAAAAGATACCCCTTAGCTGCTTGACTTCGCAAAAAAAAACCTATATCTTCTCCTTCTTCTCAGCGTTAACCAAGGGTAGCCACAGGAAGGAAAGCACCCTTATGTGTGTTAGGAAGTGGTTCGAGTGATGCCAACAATCAATCAAATCGCACATGGTACTACCACCCCTTTTCTAACGTGCCTACCAGAACCTCTCCGACACTGGAGGACTACAGAATCTGCAATACTTCGGCAAAAACGTGGCAGAAACCTTCGAGACCTTAGTTTGACAAGAACCAATCAATCTCATAGTAACTTTGATTCATTTGGATGGAGAATCAAAACATGACCATGAAAATCAACATCTGACTACCATGCTCCAGAAATATCTGCAATCGTATATTAAAATAAACCCCTATTTGTGGCATCATTTCCATCACTGACCAGAAAACCATGATTAATGATTATGTTGACGGGTTTCCTTAAGCACAACAGCTCTTCCCTGGCGATCAGCGATGCTTATTGCGAAGTGATCAAAAACCAACGGAGAAGACAACAGCTTCCCAACATCCGTGTTAGAACCCAGAGAATTCGGGGCATAGTAGCAGCTAGCTGATGTCATTAAAGAGTATGAATGGAACTAGTGGCACCGATGGTTCCCGCATAATAAATACCAAGCAATGCGAGTAGCTCGAGCTCTAAAAAAGTCTCTCTGACTAGCTTCAGCTATTAGAGATCCCTCTACGGTAATGGATCGAGTAGCCAGTTCCCATCCACACCCCCGCTGTTTAACTGTAGCCAAAAGCTTTGAAAACCTATTTCTTTTAACCCTCATCGGATTCCATCTACTCCACTTCATTTGCTTGTTGCTCTTCTGGCAGTTATCTACGGTCACAGCTGCCTAACACTGATTCACATCTGAAGACACTCCAATACCGTGACTGTTCTTCTATCCACCTTTGGTTCAGTCAGAACC